GTATTTTTAAGGTCTTTTAAACAGTTCAATATCACGCTGAACTTCATCAATTTCATTTGGTCGGACAAAAATACATGGCTAGTAAACAGTGGAAACAAACATGCTAACTATGATATTCATACACAATAAGAAAATTAGCCCAAAAACAGACCTTTGTACCCTGCATTCAGATATACTGGGGCAATGAAACTAGACTGCACAATTTAGAATTTCTTCATTTTTGTTTTGTAGTCACTGTAGTTCTTTTTCTGTTTGTCAGTTATTACAATCATAAATTCATGGTTTTTATGTTTCCACGTAAGTGTTAGCATGTTGCTAAATTCATTATCTTTAGAAAATATCATATATCTTTTTAGTAGAACTTTAGTAATAAAGGTCTTGCATTCCACTTTTGTTAAAACCAACACAAACTCTTCCATATCTATCTATCTATCTATCTAGTCTGACTAATTGTCTTGTTATCAGTATGTTTATTTCTGAAGCACTTCAGAAGTAATTGTTTATCTTTGCAGTGTAAATTGAGCCTTCTCTATTGATGCTTATTCAAAAGTAGCTATGTATTCTGACTAAATATTGCATGCAACATTTAAATTACAGATATTTCATCATATTGAATGCTTTACTAGAAACCACTTCTTTTTTGGAGGGATTTTAAAGAAATATTCATATTGAGAGAGAGAGAGAGAGAGAGAGAGAGAGATACTTCAAATTGTTTGCTGGTTAAAAAGAAACCATGTGAGTCATGATTACGCAAAACATAATGCATCAAAATGTATATTCAGTACCTGTAAATGTTATTTACTTATTTAGGTATCAATTATATTAATACATTCAGCCAATATCTGAAAATAGCATTTGTGGTCATTTACATAACATTAAACAACAGATTTTAAGGGACAATTCTTACAAAAAAATTATAATTTCTCACAAAAAAAAAAAAGTTAATTTGAGTAGAGATCAGTTCATGCAGACAAATCTAACCATCATAATGGATCATGCATTGAGTCAATGAGTGTCTCTGCTGACCTCTTGTGGGGGGAAAAAATGGCATACAATCGCATTTTATGATTATTGACACTAGAGGACCCTATTGGATCTCTATGGAAATCTGTAAGAGTAATTTTTTTTGTATTCCTATTTCAAGTGTGATATTAAGGTCTTATATCACTCAGATGAACACCTTTTTTTGTTTTGTTTTTAATAAATAAAATAAAATGTATTTAGGGTCAGAATGACCCAAGAACAAGATGTGAATGTGGTTAGCTGCTTTTCTGGTAGCCTTTCAGTAAATGATTTATAAAACTCAAATCATCAGACTGTTTAGGTTGGGGTTTATTAAAATGCCAGGGTCTTTTATTAAAATTAAAATATTAACCGCAAACAGTTAAAATGCATTACTTCACAATAAATTCTAGTTTTTGTTTGTTTGTTTTCATTTCTTTATTCCCTTTAATATCTTTAAATCCTTTTAATTATTTTATTCTTTTTTACAGAAAAATAAATGCTACAGTAAAATCATGTTAATTTATCAACTGTAAGATACCTTACCATATAAGGTGAAAAATTGTAAATGGTTTAACACTACATTTGAAATAATATTAAACTGATGGATGTTCTCAGAAGTCCCTGCTTCACACATCACCTATTATTATTTAAATGTCTTTAATTTTATTCAAATTTAGTTCAATTTCACAGGATTTCAGATTTATTTTATAGCAAGTTCGTGTAGTTTGTATAGTCTGTCGTACCTTTTTATTATAAATGTTTAATTATTTCGGTAAATATTATGTAAAATAAATATCAGCCATTCTGCATGTGTTAGTAACTGTCCTTAAATGAAATTGTATGATGTGATATGTCTTCAGCCTGTTTTTTAAGATATCAATATTGGCCATTAAAATCAAACTTATGGTCAACCATCACAATACAGTGACAGCACTTCTGTTTGGAGTCAATTTGGAGATGTCAGAGAAAGTTAAAAAGGCCTAATAGAATATGACTGAAGAACTCCAAGGATTTTGCACATCCTTTCATTGTACTAATAATGTCTCTCCTTCATTATCTGTGCCAACAGACAACAAAAACCAGGGTTCTGGGTCTTCTGAAAGAAAGGATTTTCATCTCTCTCCTATTCTGACTCTTGCCTCAAGATGGCGTGATTGAAACATGTTGTCAAGGTGGTCAACATGATCAAATGGATTTTGCTGGAAAGGACAGTCTTTCAACTGTATCAGATATCTGTCATGTCATGCATTAATACCACTCATATGTCTGTATGCAGAATGTAGATTGTGAGTTTCTACATATTTCCTTCTACAGCTCTAAAGCACCCGGCATAAAGGCCTGAAGGAAGCTGTCACATCCAAACTACCCTGATCTATAAATTCCTGATGCTTCTTTTAAATGTATACAGACTAGGGGCCAGATTTAGCCTACTAAACAGGGCAAATCAGCATGATACCACAATCCCATAAAAGCACCAATGGGAGTGGAAATTGTTATTTGTTAATGCATTAACTAACTTTAACTAATGGGACCTTATTCTTAAGTATTACTTACACATCAATATTTTAGTTCCATTAGCCTACATTTGAGTTCCATTCACACCAGAACAGTTGCACATTGTGTATAGTTGGAGTCTGTAATAAAATAGTTTTAGCAACGTTAATCAAAATTATGCTTTAAATCAATCAAAATGAATGTTAAAGCATTAAAATGATAGGAGATGTTTGCAATGTAGGAAAAATATACCTGGTTGACGTAAATATAGTGCTCGTGTCGTCCTGTGAGAGCGCTATAGATAGATGACTGAGTCTGACATCACAGGAAGCTCAAAGACATCTGATCTGATGAGGGCTGTGGCTTTTCCATTAACTAGATATATAATTTTATTTTGACAGTTTGCTGCCTGAATTGTGTGTATACTGGGATTCTCGTTATCCTTTTAAGCTCTCTGAGGATGGCTGAGCCAAGTGGGAGATATCAGCTGGTGAGTGAGTTCCACTGTGACTCGACACGGTTATTTTTAAAGCAGACCTGCGGCAGGCGCCTCCGCGGCTGGGAGTGTTGTCGGGAAACTCCGAGGCTCTGACAGGATGCGGGCCGCAATGTTTTGAAATGAATAACTCGTCCGTTTAAATGATAGCGGCATGACATAACATGTAGTTTAGCCAGTTCGTTATTTAAAAGTTGTTGCTAATGCTATTGTTTCTTGCTTACGTCAAAGTTTTCATTCATACGATATAATTTACGTAACTCATTTACAGTCCCCGTGCAGGGCAAGTAAACTTAATGCAGGGATATTGCAGATTGGCAGATATTTATGTAGCAGGAACCAGCCTGGTTTGTTTAATTTATAAGTTGACAAAATATCTGGTTAGATCTACTATAGACTATAGAATTGCATGTCCAAGATACTTCAAAAACTGCTTCTGTCGTGGGAAAACAATGATAAAACCATGATTCTGGGACATGGAACATGAATCAAAAACCATGGTATTACCATGGTGTATGCCTGGAAACATGGTATTACCATGAGATGCGTTTTAAAGATATAAAAATCTGAAAAATAATGTAACTTTGTCTATTGTATGGTCCCTTTAACTCTGTAAAGCCTGATATCATTCCTGAAATGATAGTCAGAAAAAAATAAAATGTTTTAAAATATAACCGTTTATTGACCCGTGGCTTTATGGCCCTTAAAGTGTGATATAGTGAGAATATGGAGCTTATACTTTGAGTAAAACATACCTATAGGCCCAAGTTGAGCACAGATATGCAAATTGGTGCAGATGTTGTTATTTATGTTAGATGGTAAGAAGAAATTCTGATGGCTTATAATGTAAATCGCAAATCAATGAGATTTGTGTAACAATACAGCAGACTACTTATCTAAAATGTTCAGTTCAGTTGCTTCAGTCCAGTAAATGTTTATCTTGAAATATTTCTAACAATATACAATTTCTTCTTATGCTTACTTAATAAAATACTTAATAATAATAACACATGTCCCACACCGTGAAGGTGCACATTTTTAGAATTATACTAAAAGGACTTTTGAGAGAGTAGAAGACATGTTGTAGATTTTGTGCAACCGGTTTTTCAGAAAAGTGTTGATCTTGCTGATAATTTTGAGGCCTTAGAAATGCGTGCATCAAGTTTGATACAGTAGGATTTAGTGTTATTATTGTTAATACTGCTACAAAAGGTATAATCCTATTTCAGCCTGTTGTATTATGTGACTGTTTACTTCATAATTTAGTGAATAAAACATGAATAAATTATGAAGGGCAGTTTGGCAGCCGATTTCCCACCCCCCCCTGATTTATGAAATGGTGAAGGTGAGCACTTCTGGAACAAATGTGACTGTTTAGTGTGTGGCCACATAATGAGTGTATGGCAAGTCATGTGAGTTTAAACTTAGAGTTACATATGTAATGGAGTTACGTTGTCATAGTCTGCATTTGTAGGGAGCATTTAAACTGACTCCGCTGAAATTTAATTTGAACTCATTAATATTTGGCTTAACAAAAAGATCATCTCATATTTCCACTTGCCTTTGTGACAGAGTTGTATTTGCAATGATGTCACAGTCAAACTCGGGAGGCAAAGTTCAGGTTTTCATGCAGCCAGTGAATTCTCTTGTGTCACCAGCTGCCCAATGAAGAGGAGCCAGAGGAGGGACCTCAGGTGGCCAGTGATCCTCCGCCCCCTTACAGTAGCATTGCAGCTGACAGAGCAGGTATGCAACATTTATAGGGCCCAATGAAATCCATTTTATTTTTCTGTTTTCCATTTTCCTTTTTTTTCTGGGTTCTATTTTAAAGGTTTAATATTGAATTTGAATGATCAAAAAGGATGTCCAATCATCATGGAAATCATAGTGCACAGCATGTATTTTATTTTATTTTTCAAACTATATTATGCAATAACACACGTGAGTAATCACCATTTATGTTTTTCCCTTCTACTCAGCATATTTTGATTACAAAGACGATGCAGCATTTCCCAAGCCCCCATCTTATAATGTAGCCACATCTTTACCATCGTACGACGAAGCTGAGAGAACCAAAGCAGAGGCTACTATCCCACTGGTGTCAGGCCAAGTAAGTATGGAAATCTCACCCATTAATTCGATCCAGCTCCGGGACAAAAAATCCTTAACATCACACCACAGGAAATACTGTTTTAATGTGATGTAGTGTCCCCTGTTCACTGCTCTGTTTCTCTGCCACACACTGCTTGCGTACAGCACAGGGAGCGTCTGGACACATTCGATGACGTAACTCGCTGTGCGCTGGAGGTACAATAAGAGTGTGTGAGACCGTAAAGTGTGGTGGTGGAGGTGATGTCGATCTAGGAAGGCCCCAGGGTCCTGTTTCTCTGGCTTGAACCTGTTACATGTCTTGACTAGTTTTTTTTTTTTTTTTTTGTAATGTAAATTTGCTGCACAGAAAATTATCTGCACTAATAGCAGCCATTTGGATAACAGCACGGACTTGGTGCTTTTCAGGCCATGAAATGTTGCCCCTGGTGTCTTAGGTTTTAGATGTGATGATAGTTATGTGCTATAGAGTATCTGAAATATTTTTTCTGGAGATATTTTGCTATTTGATATATGTCTGTGGAAATGTCTGGTAATCTGGCACAATCATCAAAAGCTTGTATATATGAAATTCAGTTCTTTCAGTCAGAACAACTTTTAATGGAAGCTCAAAAATGTTTGATGAAATTGGAATCATGATCCTGCTAGCTGTGGAGAAATTTCACAAAATTTCAGTGCTTTAATAGGCATTGCGTCGTATGCATTAACTCTTAAGTGTAGTAACATTTAACTTTTCGAAGTATGCACTTAGTATTCTTATGTTTAGGAAAACATAAGTCATGCACTATTCCTGCATCCTCCGCTGTTTTCCAGATGTGTTTTGTCCATAAAATTTAACAGAATCCATAGGCGGCACGGGGAAGGGTAAGCAATCCAACTATGGTTCAGACCAAGCAATCAAACCAAGTGTGAAAGCACCATGAAGCTACATGTCTACCAAGTCAGCTCTTAAAGTGTCGTTTCATTTTTACTTAAGTGTTTGTGGTTTCTGTGAATTATATGAGCCCCAATGCATCCACTCACACTCCCTCTCCTATTGTTAGCTAATTCTCTTGTTTTTCTCATTTAAAGGGGTCATGACATGGATATTTTTAATTGTACCTTAATGGCCACTTATAACAGTAATAAAGGGTTTTGCACACATTTTTTAAATATTCGCTGATCCTCTGTTTGAAGTGATCTGTTTTTAAAGAGCGGCTACTTTAGGGTTTGTCAGTAAACGGCCACTGTAATGATTGGCTAACGGCACTGCACAGGAAATAGTATCAACGCTTCTTGCTATTGCATGTGAGTAATGCTGAAAACATTATCCGTGTAAAACCGTCATTAACAGACAAACCAATGTTTGTCAAATTGTTTACGGTGTAATTGGATTGCATTGCAGCTGTTGTCAGATCCAAAACAGTTGGCTGCTTCATCTTTCCACAGAAGTTTCTTTGCAAACTCTCCATTAAACTGTGCTTCGTTTAATAACAATATGGAGTCAAATGCTCCGAACAAAATGTGTAATCCTCCAAACGCCATTAACAATAAACCATCCACTTGTTCCTGATGCTGGAGTCTTTCTGAAGTCAGCGCTTCCATTTGTTGTCTTGACTGGAGTAGCTCTAGTGCATGGAGTAAATTGAATGGACATCTGTAATACTGTATCCAGTATAGACAGCGTCAGTGATTATAATGGGTTCTATTTGCTTTTTATGCCACGGTCGCATCCAGTGTAAACAGTCAGCTAGTGGGCAGGGTCCTGTGGTACAATCATGTTTAACTATCCGTCGATGTCTTGCTCTAGAGGAGGATGTTTGAGCTATAAAAGTAGATGTTTTAATGGAACACAAATGCCTTCTATAATGATCAAGAAAGGTTTCAACGATCAATGAAAATTTGATTTCTCATGTTATGACGCCTTTTCAACGATCTCACGATTGTTGTGTTTTAGCCTTGCTTTGCTCTTTTTGTCTCTGTTACACATTTAGATTTAATGGACATCTCTGTCTCTGTATATTTTCCTGCAGGATGATGACTTTGTGGCCAGAGATGACTTTGAGGATGCTGACCAGCTGCAGATAGGCAACGATGGCATTTTCATGTTGACATGTTTCAGTAAGTGTTTTCAGGGAAACAGGTTTTGCACATTCCCATCTCTATCTTCTTTTATCTCCTTCCTATCAAGCAGGAAGTGTGAATGTTACCAACCAAATAAAAAAGAAAAGGGAAAAAAGTAACAGAAAATGCTGGTGATGAGGGTCATGTTAATTATTTTTTTTTTTAATGAGAATAAACAATTCCCCACAATCTTTAGAAAATCTGATATTTCTGATTCCGATGTTAAAATATAATTTTTCCTCAGTGGCATTCCTCTTCAACTGGATTGGCTTCTTTCTGTCATTCTGCCTTACAACCTCAGCAGCTGGGCGTTATGGCGCCATATCTGGGTTTGGTCTGTCCCTCATCAAATGGATTCTCATCGTACGGGTACGCTCCCACCTAGACAGCTGCAGCTAATTTTACACATTATGATTTATTTAGATAGTATATCTATTGGTTAACCATTTTGGCTTGGCTGGGTTAGTGAGAACATTCCAGAAGCACATTACCCCCTATTAGTAATCACCACAACAGCTAAAATCTGACTAAATGATTCAAACATGCTGTAATGTATTGTAATGTGTTTTCTTCATGACATTACAAGCCTGGACATGATCGGTGGTTTTATCCGTGCATCTCTTTCTCACTCTTCCCCTCTCTTTTCATTCTCAGTTCTCTGCTTATTTCCCTGGTTACTTTGATGGACAGTACTGGTTATGGTGGGTGTTTCTGGTGCTTGGTAAGTGTTTTTTCTGCTTTCAACTGAAGTTCATTGTGTGAAATGTTTTGCTTGTGAAATAGGCTTATGCTCTATATCAATAAATGCTAAAAATTGGTTTGTTTTTCTAGTGTAATGACACCTTGAGCATTAAAAAGATGTACACTGTCGGCCCAGTTCAAAGGCCATTTGAAGAGAGGGCTTAAAGGAGCAAGAGGCGCAAGCACTGATATGAGTTTTTATGATCTACAGGCATCCTGCTCTTCCTCAGAGGCTTTATTAACTATGCTAAGATCCGAAAAATGGCGGACTCCGTTTCTACTCTTCCACGGACCAGAGTTCTCTTCATCTATTAAAGGTAAATATTTCTGAGCCTCTTTTATATGAAGGCAAAGCTATTTTGTATTTACACATGGTTACACGTGGTTTACAATCAGCTGTCCTTCCTGTCTCCCTGAAGCTCCCTGTCTTGGGCAGCTTATATTACGGACACTGCAGTTCCACAGGTGTATGTGTTAGCTTATTCGGATTTTACAAAATGAACTTTAAAATACAGTATCCTGAAAAGAGCACATTGGGTTGGGTTGCACATGTCATATGGTGTTGACTTTAAAAGGCATTGTCCAGTGTTGCAGGTCAAATAGTGCAATGACCATACAAAAGTTGTGCTCGGAAGCAAGCATGCATTTTGGAACAGCTCTGGAATAGTTTATAATAATGACTGTCCAGTCCAGTAAAGTGCACATGAATAATGATTTTTTTCTTTTTTTTAATCTACTCTAGTCACTTGCTGGAAATGAAAACACATTCATGGGCCTGCATTGAGCCGTTGACCCAGTGGGGAAAATATAATTAAGAAAAAAAATCCTTCCATCTGTTATCTACTCATCCGAAAGGAAGACCGCGGAATTCCAGAGCGTTGGAGGAAGAGCGTTTTTTTCCCGCTCTCTGCTTTTGAAAATGCAGTTTGGGTGTCAGATAGCAAGATACTCTTTTTACATTTCTAGATGTATAGTGGATGCTAACAGCTCTATACCTGTTCTGAAATCATTAGTGGTTTGATGTTGAGTGCTATTTGCTCTTTTCAAGTCTGTAATGTATTAAACAAACCATATGTATGAATTCTTGTTTGTAGTACAGGCATGCACTATGCTCCCTGTTAACCAGTAGGGGGAAGTCTTGCTTTTTTTTATTGCAGTGTGTGTGCTTTTTTTTTCCCTGTGACGTTTGACAAGAAGGCAACCAGTCACTGCTGGCCACCATTCATGAAGAGCTTTTCTCTTTGTGAATGGCAGTGTGAAATGAATTGAATCTAAAACAGTCAATGCGTTTCTTCTATTCTCTTCTACCGTTTCTCTCTGCCTCCTTACATAACATGAAATTAAAGTTACTGTTTTTAAGTCGTCATTATTGATGTGGTTCAGACGTGTTTTATTGGCCATGTAGTTCTTTCAAACGGCTTATTAATACCAAAATTAGGATCAAGGAATATTTCTTAAAAGATCCAGGAGATGCGTGAATGGCATCTAGCATCAGTAAATGTAAATGTATGGTTGTTCACTTAACATTTGGCCCCATGTTTGAGTACTTGCAACTTTTCAGGGAAGAAAACTTTAATATTTGCATTCAAACATTTCTCCTTTTATACTATACGGCTGTCGGCTGATAGCACTGCACATTTTTCCGATCTTTGAATATACATTTAGCCGGATGCCTCTCCCTCACCTTATGCAGTGGCCGTGATAGGGGCCCGTTTGATCTCTCGCTGTCTAATCATGCATGATTCTGTTGTGGCTTGTCTGCTCTTGTCACCTTGGGTCTCGTCCGTGACACAGGAAGTTACTCTTTTGTGTTGTGTTTTCCATGCAGCTTTGTGGTCGCCCTCTGAATTCCAATGGCTGTGCACATGTATTTGCTTGTAAATAAGATACTGCTATTAAATGTCTCTGGTGTTCAACATGTGCTGGAAATGTTTTTGGCGTATCTTTGTTGTAAGGGTGAAGTATACACAAGAAATTTGAGTAAACATTTAAAGTACTTTGATGAACTTTGTACAATATAATAAATGAATGTGAATTGGTAATTATAATTTTTTTTTAAATTAAGATTATTATCAGTACTATATGCCTTATGATTATTTTTGCTTGACTTTGTAGAGTCATGACATTTAAACTTTATTTTTTTTATGGTTTAATATACTTTCAAAAATATGAGGATAATATGAAAACAAAGAATGTTTCTAAGCACTCATCGCCTGAGATTTTTGAATTAGTTTTCTTGCACACTCTTAATTTGTCATTGACCATTTTCTAACAGCAAAAGCCTTTGAGAAAGAATCATCTGTTACTGAAGGTTTGTTTTCAACTGTTAGCCTCTCCTGAAGTCGCTGAGCCAATAAAACTAGTCTGACCTGATTTCCTTGGTCGGATGTAGACGAAAAATATTCATGTCAACAAGGGCACATTTCTGTTGTGGTTGCGGCCGGAGACTATTGACAGGCGATATATCATGTCAGCGAAATGAAAGTAAAGAATCACGTGGAATGTAGAATATTAAACCGCTGGTTTTGAATACAAAGATTTTTTTTTTTTTCGATGCCCATCTAATAGCTCATGAATGCATGCGAGTGTGGGTTTGAGGAGCAGGCACAGGCTGTCTCCTGTTATCGCCTGTTTGTGCCGTCCATTTGAGGTGTGAAACCAGCAGCTCTCATTCCTCCTCCTGGTGTGACTTCCTGGGGGAAGCACACAGCATTTAATAACCTAACACTCTCCTACCACTGACAATCATCTCCGCAAACACAATTACACTCATGCTCTGGAGTCCTAAATATATCCAGGATGGCTTTCCAAGAAGGGGACCAGAGTCCCATTTGGATTTGGAGGGAGGTGGGGTGTGACTGTGACAGATGAGTGTTTCTATTTATATATATGTTCATGTTAATCTGAACATGTAAGTTCTACAAAATAAAGGTTTCAAAGGAGGTTTTCGCAGTGATGCCATAAAAGGGTGAAACTTTTTTTTTTTTTTTTACATTTTAATAATCTAAATAACATTTTCAGTGTTTTTTTTATATATATTTGATGTTAATATTTTGAAAAAAAAAATCATTTTAATTAAAGTTTCAGTCGTTTTATTTTGCTTTTGTCATTTTAGGCTATTTTTTATATCTGTTTAGATTGTAATGTTTAGTTTATAGTTTGTTTTAGTACTTCAGCTTAAACTAAATGAAAATGAGAAGTGTCCGAGTACATTATAAATGTACAGTAGCTGAAATAAAATAATGTGTTTTATTCATTTTTTCAGATTTTATTTATAGTCCAGTTAATGTTTATTTTATTTTAAATAGTGATAATAAAAAGAGTGTACCATAGCAATACAATGATGTTAATCAGATGCTAATAATATGGTACTTAATAAGGAAGCATGGCAACATCTCCCAAAAAAAACAAAACCTTGGTAGTATCACATGTGCAATGCCAGTACCATGTTATATTTGTTGGACATGTACCATGGTAACACCGTGTTGTTTTGTTTTGTTCTTTTAAACATTCTTTAAAAAAAATAAATAAATCATGCTATTACCATCTGATGCCATCTGATCACATGAACCATTGTAATACTATCAATTTTAGAAAATGTAGCATGGTCATACCATGCATGTATGTATGTATCTATTTATCCTCCATTGAATGTTCCATGGCAGTACTGTTTTTAGGACATATAATTTTGTAATACACTTTTTACACATATTCCTTATATTACATGTAAATATCATTATACAGGATAATCATCCAGTACCATGGTATAAATACTATGGTATTACCATCAAATGTACCGTGGTGATACCATTATGTAACCCCTTTTTTTTTTTTACGTACCACAGCAGTACTTTTTGTGGACGTGTGTAAATACTATATATAATATGGTTATCATCCAGTACCATGGTATGAATCAAAGTACCATGCTATTACCATCTGATAGAATCGCTGTACCATGGTACCGCCTCAGCACTTAGAAAAGTTGGGGGCGGTGGGCTTTAGTCACTTATGAGTCATACCCCTCCCCCCATACACATTTGGCATAGATGTTTTGTTGGTGTGTGTGTGTGTGTGTCTGTGACTCTGATAAAGTCAATCGAACAGTGCAAGGACTCTCGCTGACTGGTTACCGTGGCGAGGGTGGAGCAGTTACCGGGAGTGACGGCCGAGCGATTGGTGACTCATCGGCGGCTGCTGCTGAGTCCAATGTATTCTGCTCACACTTGCGTTCCACACCTCTCTCTCATCACTCTGTTTATGAACGGCGTTCATTCACAAATTCTGTATTTTTGCTCATCTTATATCACCTGGATTCTGCTCCAGCAATCTGTAACCATCATATAAACTGTCTATAGGTCAGTGTTTCCTAACCTTTTTGGTTTAATGAGGCCCCATCAGTAAAGCTCAAGAACCTCTTCATCGACACTGAACCAGAAATATGCAACATTTGAGCCATGTTCTACGGGATATCATATAACATCATTCTTCTTATTAAAATGATCATAGTTGTCCCAAATGATGTACTCTACTGTCTAGTGTGTGAAGTTCATATGGTTATTTTGTCATCCAACATTGTAATATGATAACATCTAATTCAAAATATCAACAAAAAATTAAGCATTAGCATTTTGACGATAGTGGTCCTGACAGAACTATAGTAGTATATCATTGGTTCACTTTTTAATTAAAAAAATTACGGGGCAATTGTCTATAAGTGAATTTAAAAATGAAAGCAAATGAAATGTTTAACATACTGTAAGTTATATACATGCTGTGGAATTTAAATACCATATAAGCGAGTCTGAAATGGGCACCATCATTTATATAAATTTTTATCAAAAAAAGTTGTTTCAAACTTTAATGAATGTATTTATTTATCTACTCCTGTGGAACACAAGATGATATTTTGAGGAATATTTCAACTGTTTTGTCCATACAATGAAAGTCGGGGTCCAAAGCAACCCCACTGACTTTTATTGTATGGACATTTTTTTAACATATTTTCCTTAGTTTCCACAGAAGAAAAAAAAAAAGTTTGAAGGAAGAAAGGTGAGCTATCCATTTTACAAAACACTGGAAAAAGTATACCCCTAAATGGAAATCACTTCTATGAAGCAGTAAATCATGCAGCGAATCAAGAGTCCTAGAGTCTTTGAGATGCTGAAATGTTGGCAAGCCATATTACCCAGCTATCTACATCCACATTTCATATTTTTATGAATGAGGAGAGACAGTGAATGCTGGGATGCTGCGATTGGCTGCAGAGGACTCATTCAACCATCAGCCCTCCAAACACACACACAGACACAGAGAAAGAGCGAGGAGACGTCATGCTACGCTTCCGCAGTGCATCAAGGGAATCAGACTGCCTCTGACTCATGCTAGAGAAACTGAGAAAAAGAGCTAGTGGGGAGGACTCGCTCTTCATTCTGATTTTCTCCTCTTTCTCGCTCGCTGCTCCTGAAGCTGAGTGATGTAATACAGGTGACCTATTCGTCACAGACCACCCCCGCTTCCCCCTGGCAGCCGATTGGCTGAGCGCTTGTATGAATGGGCCGCTCTGTTCCCTGTGGGGAGGGGGTTTGGGTGGAGTGAGGCAGAAGCACGTCACTCGTTCATTGAGGGAAAAAAAACACTGCTGGCTTCCTTGGCAGCAGCTCTGAATAGAGCTCAAATGAGTTTGCGTGCTGATCTCACTCTTTGTCACACATGTAGGCAGTTTGTGCATAAAGGTGACAGCGAGCGTTTTTATTCTGCATGTTTGCTGATGGATATACATGATTAACTATTACATGCTCGTTCATTACAGACAATGAGAATGTAATAGCTATAGTTTCATAATTATTGCATTAATTAAAGACACTTGCATTAACACAGCTATTAAGTGGAATGTATATGGAAGCATAACTGAACCGTGTGTACAGTGTAATAAGAAACAAACCTTAGCAATTTAAACTGCTAAATATATTTCAACCTCAAGTTTCCTGCTGAAGTTCTGTTCTGCTCTGCTCCTATTCTGTTGTTCTCTTCTATTTTACTCTATTCGGTTCTATTCTACTTTACGTTATTCATTCTATTCAGTTCTATTCTATTCTGCTCCTATTCTATTCCTCTCAGCTCTATTATGTACTGTTCTTATTCCATTCGACTCCGTTTCTATTCAGTTCTATTATTTTTCTATTGTTTTCTTCTGTTCTGTTTATATTATGATCTATTCTGCTCCTTTTGTATTATATTTGTATTCTGTTCTGCTTATACTCTGTTCGGTTACTCTTATATTCTATTCTATTCTATTCAATGCTGTTCTGTTCTTATTCCATTCTACATTGATGCTATTCAGTTGTATTTCCATCCTATTATTTTCTTCTGTTCTATTTCTATTGTGATCTGTTCTACTCCTTTTGTATTCTATTTGTATTCCATTCTGTTCTGCTCATACTCTGTACTCTGTACATATTCTGTTCTTTTCTATTCTATTCTGTTCTGTGCTGTACTTATTTCCATTCTACTGTGTTCCTATTCATTTGTTTTTCCATCTGTTTCCATTGTGTTCTGTTCTGCTCCTGTTGTATTCTGTTTCTGTTCTATTCTGCACAAAGAGTTGTGTTCGGTTAAAAAAGAATTGTGTCAAAAAATAATTGTATTCTGTTATGTTCTGTTCATACTCTTCTATTCTAGTCAGCTCTGTTCTGTATACCGTTCTTATTCCATTCAACTCTGCTCCAAATCAGTTGTATTTTGTTCTTGTATTCTATTTCTATTGTATTCTTTTCTGCTTCTGTTGTATTCTGTTCTGCTGAAACACTCTTCTGCTATGTTCCTCTCCTATTCTATTCTACTTGTATTCTATTATTCTGCTCATATTCTGTTCTACTCTATTCTATAATGTTCTACACAGTTTTATTCTATTCTTATATT